ATTGTACTTTTCTCTTTCTACTGAGCATCTCACAAATACTGCAGCAGATGAAATGGGTCTATGCATAGAGGCAGAGTTCATCCCTTAAAAATTGTCTGTGTTGATCCACGGACCTTATTCCTAGAGGAAACTCACTACAACAAGTGTGAGAAAGACTCAGTGAAGGGAGGAGGGAAATTTGTCTGAGTTTTTCTCCAGACCCCACACTTACCAAAGGCTCTAGTTCTTTGCTGTCTATGAGGTTGAGCTCTGTCACGAAGTAATAAAAATGCTTGTAACAGGTATTGACATGTGCCTCAGCCCCCATCAGCACGATACGGTCGAAGTGATGGATGTAGACATGAACAAACACCCGAAAAAGCCGAGAGAGTATCTTCTTGCAGACCTGAAGAAAGTTCTTTGGAAAGGGAACACCTGTGAATAGAGAAGCAGGGTTGTCGTAACCATCCTGTCCTCCTGAGACAAGAGCTTTGGAGCAGAGTGTGAGATTGTAACTGCAAACTAGGTCATGATTTTCTAGGCATCCTTTCCAATCCAGAAGATCACTTAAAGCAAACATTTATCTGATGGCTAGCACCAAAGATTACCAAATCCTTAGGCAACTTTAATGGATCAAGACTGACAGGTACTGATCTTTTTTTTTCTGCATAACTTAATGGAGGAATATCCAGTATTGTAAGGCTCAGAAATCTGATTTTTGCTGCAGTGCACACTGACTGATTAACATCAATGGCTTTACATCATGAGATGGCTGTTCCTCAAACTGACATATACAGAGCCCTTCCTAGAAGTAATAGACACTATTCTGCTTATCTTACTCAACAGTGGCATTTCATAGCATCAAATTTAATAACAAATTTGAAATAACTGACTGAAGGACAGACCCCTTTGCTTCCAACTTTCTGCCAGTTACATGTACCAATCTGATTGCTTCTTTGATAGAAAAACTCTTGAAGCGACACAGGAACAGCCCTTCCAAAACACCTAAGAACTTATACTGCTTTGTAGCTGGAGACTCCAAAGCAGTTGCAAAAGTAACATTTGCTAATAAACAGGCAGACCTTCACAATGTGGCGCCAATAATTTCTTCATTTAAGACTGGTCTTGCATGGTATTGTGTGCCACTGAGCTGCCTCCAAAAGCTTCAAGGTCCATCTCCTTCTATGATTGTCCTAATAAATCAGCCACAGAACACAGTAATTTCAAGTGGCTCTTGGGAATGGACTAGCTTAGATTTTGATCTCTGACTTGTTAAGGAGGCTGTTCTCCATCCTTCAGCTCAGCTACAGCAGCATTTGTCTTAGAATCACAGAATCAGAAAGGTTGGAAGAGATCTGCAAGATCATCCGGTCCAACTAGCCACCTAGCACTACCACTGTAACCCCTAAACCACTAAACCATATTACCCAGTGCCAGATACAGATGCCTCTTCAACACCTCCATGGATGGTGATTCTACCACCTGCCTAGGCAACTTCTTTCAGTGCTTGACAACCCTAACAGTGAAATCTTTTTCTAATATCTAACCTGAGTATCTCCTGTCTACACTTAAGGCCATTTCCTCTAGTCCTCTCACTGCAGTTATGGTAGAAGAGACCATCCCCCAGCTCTCTACAACTCCCTTTCAGGCAGTTGTGGAGAGCAATGAGGTCACACCTGAGCAGCCTCTTCTCAAGACTAAATAAACCCAATTTCCTCAGCCGTTCCTCATATGACATGTTCTAGACCTTTCATGAGTCTCACAGCTCCAGCACCTCAATCCCCTTTTTAAAGTGAGAGGCCCAAAACACAGTACTCAAGGTGTGGCCTCACCAATGCTAAGTACATGACGATGATTGCTTCCTTAGTCCTACTGGCTGCACTATTTTTGATACAGGTCAAGATGCCATTGGCCCTGTGGGCCACCTGGGCACACCATTGGCTCATACTAAGCTGGCTGTGAACCTGCACTCCAAGTGCCTTTCTGCTGAACAGCTCTCAAGCCACTCCTCCCCCAGCCTGTAGCACTGCATGGAGTTGCTGCAACCCAAGTGCAGGACCTGGCACTTCACCTTAGTGAAACTAATGCAGTTGTCCATAGCCCATTGATCAAGTCTGTCCAGGTCAATCTATAGAGTTCGCCTACCCTTGAGCAGATCAATACTCCCACACAACTTAGTGTCATCTGCAAATTTACTGAGGGTGCACTCAATGCCTATGTCCAGCTCATCAATAAAAATGTTAAATATCACCAGCCCCAAAACTGAGCCCTGGGGGATACCACTAGTGACTGGCTGCCAATTGGATTTAGCTCCATTAATCACAACTCTATGAGCCTGGCCATCCAGCCAGTTCTTTACCCACTGAAGAGTCCACCCATCCAAGCCATGAGCAGTCAGTTTGTCTAGGAGGATGCTGTGGGAGACAGTGTAAAACACCTTACTGGAGTCTAGAAATACTACATCCACAGCCTTTCCCTCATCCACTAAGCAGGTCACTTTGTCATAGTAGGAGACCAGGTTGGTCAAACAGGACCATTCTTTCATAAATCCATGTTGGACGGCCTGATCCCCTGGTTGTCTTGCATATGCCATGTAATGGAAGTCAGGATGATCTCTTCCATAGCTCTGACTGGAACCAAGGTTAGACTTACAGGCCTGTAGTTCTCCAGATCATTCTTCTGACCCTTCTTGTAGATGGATGTTACATCTGCTGATTTCCAGTCAGGTAGAACTTCTCCAGTTAATGAGGACTATTGGTAGATGATTGAGTGGCTTGGCAAATTCTTTCAACAGTTCCCTCATTACTGGGATGGATCCCATATGGGCCCATAGACTTGTGTCTAATTGGCACAGTAAGTCATTAACCATCTCCTCCTGGATTATGGGGGCTCCTCATCCCTAAATTCCAGCTCTAGGGGCTGGGTATCCTGAGAACAACTGGTCTTGATGTTAAACACAGAGGCAAAGGCAGCATTAGGTACCTCTGCCTTTTCCTCATTCCCTGTCACTACACTACCCTCTGCATTCAACAAATGATGGAGACACTCCTTGACCCTCCTTTTGATGTCAGTGTATTTATAGGAACTTTTTTGGTGGTCCTTAACTGTAGCAGCCAAATCAAGTTCTAGTTGGGCTCTGGCCCTTCAAATCTTCTCCCTGTATGACCTGGCAACATCCTTACCGTCCCCCCAAACTACATGAC